AGAAGAGGGGGGAGAAGAGGGGGGAGAAGAGGGGAGAAGAGGGGGGAAGAGAGGGGGGAAAGCAGGATCCAAACAAAAGCAGGATCCAAACAAAGAAAGGAGAAACAGAAGAAAAGGACAGCCACAACAAGGGTGGAGGGACGGGAGAGACGAGAAGGCAGACAGCTCCGAGAAAAGCTGCAGCCAACAGCGCACAGAGGCGCGGCCTGACGAAGCAGCGAGAGATGAGAGAAACGGCCAAAAGCCACGCAGGAATGCAGCAGGACTTGTCAATCATAACGGCGCGGTCCGAAGAAGGATAGATAATACACCTATGGCCAAGAGACACTCCGAGGACAAAGGAGGAACGCAGAACGATAGGCGCATAGCGCACGGAGGCGCGGCCCGGAGAGGCAGCGAGGGACAAGAGTAACGAACAAAGCCCATACCGAAGACAAGGGAGGAATGCAGCAGGACGGGAAGAAGGAGACTAGCTATACCATGGCCACGGCCACACCGAGGACAAGGGAGGAATGCAGGAGGACTGGCCAATAGCGCATAATGCGCATAAACTCGCAACCCGAAGAAGGAGAAGATAGTTACAAGATTGCCAAAAGCAACGCCGAGGACAAAGGAGGAACGCAGCACGACAGGCCAATGGCGCGCAGAGGCGCGGCCCGAACAGGCAACGAGAGATAAGAAAAAAGACCGAAAGCCACGCCGAGGACAAAGCAAGAATGCAGCAGGACTGGCCAAACATAAGTGCACGGTCCGAGGAAACCTATGGCCAAGAGCCACGCCGAGGACAAAGGAGGACCGCAGCACGACAGGCGCATATCGCGAGGAGGCGCGGCCCAGAGAAGCAGCGAGAGACAAGAGTAACGGCCAAAGGCCATGCCGAGGACAAGGGGGCCAAAAGCACAACACAAACACGCCAGCACAGGCCAACAGTGCACAAGGCGCGGCCTCAAGAAGGGCAAGTAGGAGGCAGACAGCGAAAACCCACTGCCGTTGCAAAAGCAACCGACAGAAAGACACGAACAAAGAAAGCAGAGAACAAGGGCGGGAGTGGGCCGGCTCAATGGGACGAGCCACCGTCGCCCATCGCTTCTCAGAGGAGTTGAACGCAGAAGAGAGTGGGCAAGGACACAACGGATGAGAAACCGAACCTAGAGAGGGCGGGAGGACTAGGCCCGAAGGACGCGACACCAGAGCGCAGTCGACAGGGAGGGAAGAGCGGAGAGAACAAAGGGGTGGGCCGGCTGCGATAACAACGAGCCAAAATCGCCCATCACCCTGCTGTGCACTAGGAAGAAGATGTGCACAAGGAGGAGTCAGGCGACGGAGGGGCCACACGGAGGGGAGAGGGAGGAGGTGAGGAGGCAACACAAGCAACTGGAGTGGTTGGCAAGAAGCCAAGCCACCGGCGCTCAACAGGCGCTCAGGAAGGTAAAAGGCGTCGAAAGGAGAAGGACGTGAAGGGAGAGCGGCCACTTGGGGGGGAGAGGAGACAACTGGAGCTGCGAAGCAACAACCAACAGCGAACGCGAGTGGCAGCAAGATATCCGGGACCAAAGAAGAGGTGGGGAGGCGAGGCATCCAAGCCGGAAGGAAAGGTGAAAGGAAGAAAAGGAGGGAGATGGCACTGTCACTCCATGGAGGGGGCGTGGTGGCAGGAATGTTGGTGCTCCTCGACGGGGAGATACCCGTCTTAGTGCCGCCCCTGGGGTCCCACCAACCTGAGAAGGCCACCAAGCCCCGATGCTCCGTTGGGCCCAGGGGAGAACTTACTCTTAATATTTTCAATGATAATTTCATTTTATTGTTACTTATTATTGGTCAATAATGATGAACTTTGACCATTCCATTAGATCATGAAATACCTGTATATTATTTATATATGTACTAGTCGAAGAAAATATGCTCAAGTAGTGATACAAAAGGTCTTTAATATCTATATAATCATAATTGTAATCAAATTTATTGTTGTATGTGTCAAGTAATAACCTTTTTAACTCGATCAATTTACCCTTGTTAAAGTAACGTCCATATCACATTTGCGCTGCTCTTTCATAATCGCGATATGAATGGAGATATTTGCGAATCGAACCCTTTGCCGCTGGCGCCTGCCATATGGGAGACCACCTCGGGTGAGCATTGGTAGTGCTATCTTGACATCCGAAGGCAGATTTGAGGAGCGCACTGATGCGACATCGCTCAAATTGCTGATGTCGTCAGGATCCTGTAAGAGCATGGCCATGCAGGCAGCCCGCCAATCGACTTACGGCGCAAGGCTGGTCGAAGGCAACACATCAAGACTCCTTGGCATAATGACCCTGACCCACATGCACAAATTGACTAGTTGCCGATCATCTCACAACTTCCCAGCCTCCTGCAATGGGAAAAGTGCCTGCCAGCAGAAGCAGCGCAAGGCAAAACGCAGCTCAACCGGCTCGGCTCGCTCTGAGCACAGGCCTGTAGGTGAGGACTGCTAGCAACGGTCGGCATGGCCACCAGAAGCCCTCCTATAAGGGCTGAGCCGTGCTTCGTCACAGACAAGTCTTCATGACTCGGCGCTGTATTGAGCCCCTGCTCTACAACTGCAAAAACAGCACGACGTTGTTTCTCGCTGCCGCTGCATAAAACTCTGCCTACACCTTCGGCTACATCGGCCCATCGTCTTGCAGGATTCCGCGCAAGCGGCTGGGAAAACAAGGCCTTTCTCGACCTGGACCGCAACGGCATCTAGCAGGTTGCAGTATCGGGACATCGCCCTTGGCCCGCTTTCGGGCAGATAGCCAAGGTGGTGCCGAGGCGGCAGGGTTCAGCGAAGCTGGAAAGATAAAGCCCCCTTTCTTCACGATTGCTCCAAGCCAAGTCGTGCGACTCCTGGGAAGCCATGGGAAGGCTGTCGCGGAAGAAGTCCTGTCAATCGAGTTTGAGCACCACAAATGAGTCGGAGCACTGTTCTGCAGGATCATATCTATTATCCCTTCCACAGGCCTCAGAGATGAAGCTCAGCCGCATGAACGTTTGCGCGGATCATGTTTGACAAGCAGCCATCGCATAGCCGTCTAATGGCGGCGGTGGCCGAAGCTTCACCAAGCCGGCCTGCCAGAGCCAGGCAACGCTATACGTCACCTCTTTTCGTCTCATTGCAGCCTTTCAAAGCTTTTTGCCGTCAGCCTCAGCCTTTCCGAGCGCAATGCATCGACCACGTGGCCCCAGGCACCCTTCACTTCCTTGTCCTTCTCCGACTTCGAAGGGCTTCCGGGCACGGCCGCCTTAGCCTTGGATTGCTGGGTCTCCTGGGTCCCGATCTCCACCTGGCGAGAGTGCAGACGAACGCGAATGCTTCGCTCCCCCTTCCTGTACGCGTCGAGAGCAGCAAACAGAATCAAACAACTAGTAACTAGTAGTAGAAAGCACCACAAGCACCGCCTTCGCCGTGGCGGAAGCGTCGCCCAAAGCATTTCCAACCGGCCTCACGCGAGAAGCATGGTCACCGTGTCCACGGCTTGACTCTGCCATGTAATACTTGCTTGCCATGGACTGCGCTACACAGCCGCCACACAAGTCCCGCAGCCTTGTCACACGCTTGCCCGCGCCAAGGAAAATGGCCTGTAGACTCTTAAGTTCTGCCGATCAGCCACTGGTGCAGCAATCAGTTCATAGAGCATGTTAGTTTGAGGTACAGCTTTTGCAATGGTCGCTGATCTGTGTTCTGCTGGCACGAAACTTCTTCAAGATCGGCTCGCTCCACTAGTAGTAGTAGTAGTAGTAGTAGTAGTAGTAGTAGAAGTAACATGTGCAGGTCGGGGTTTGCTGTGAGAACTGTCGGTACAGACTGGCGTCCGACACTTGCTTGCAATCGGACAAAGCAGGGTGCAACCCCTGCCCACGCTCGAAAGTGTCCGACACTCTCTCTCTCTCTCTCTCGCTCTCTCTCGCTCTCCTTTGTCCCAGCGCATGGCACGCTTTGGGGGAGCGTAGGGTAAGGGGTGCATCGGCGCAGAAGAAGACACACAACAAAAGAGTGTTTTCACTGCGGCGTGATCGATGGATTGTGGGCCACCTCGCCTTCCGTTTCTTCCTGCACCGTGCCGGCTGCTTGCCAAATTCGCTGCAAACACCGAAGACTAGAGAGTGTCATTAGCACCTCGCCAAGGTTCTCAATGAGCCACTTCTTTGTTAATCATGTCGCCCCGATCCGGTCGCCGGAAATCCGACGGCTTGAAAACTACACCGCACAGGTCGGAGACCGATTCGAGGAAACGATTCTCGAACTACAATCACAGAGGACCGATTTTTGAATTCAGATTTAGATCCCGACGGCGGAAACACACACAGACATATGCTATCGACGTTTAGGGCAACGCCGAAAAGGCTAGCACGAGACGACGGATACCCTTCTTTTGTATGGGAAGAAAGCGCATCGCGCCGGGTCCGTCGCCTCCGCCCAAAACTAGGCTGGCCGGCGCCGGGGAAGCTTTGAGCTACCCGACGCGCCGCCCGTGGGCGGGGGACGACCCTCCAGTCTTTCAGCAAACGGCTTCGCCGATACTGGGGAGGCCTCCTCCCCACTCCCAACACGAGGGTGGTAGAGGGTGGGCCGAAAAAGCGACGTCGAGCCGGAGCAGCTGCCGGCACGACGAGTCGCTAATGTCCATGCGCACACACGTGTGCTACACGACATATGCTATCGACGTTTAGGGCAACGCCGAAAAGGCTAGCACGAGACGACGGATACCCTTCTTTTGTATGGGAAGAAAGCGCATCGCGCCGGGTCCGTCGCCTCCGCCCAAAACTAGGCTGGCCGGCGCCGGGGAAGCTTTGAGTGCACTAGCTCCTATATCCCACCACCATCCCCGGATCTCCACCAGGACGATAGTAGTACAAAAGTAGATAGCTAGCGAGCTAGCCGAGCGACGACCAGACGGACAAGCAACACAGCTAGCACGGACGTCCTTTTGTCTGGAGTGGCAACTATCCCAGGTTGCCTGGAGATAACTGATAGCCTTCGGCTATCTATCCCCAGGGTGGGCAGGGTGGGTACTTCAAAATTACCCCCCCTGATGGGGGACTTTATCCAGAATGGCCACGGTCACACACCGTCGTAGCCATTCCAAGTCACAGCTATCCTGTCTTCGCATGTCAGAGGCAACTCTCCTGCGAGCGACGATAGCGAACCAAACTTCGTTTCTAGCGAAGCTACCTTCGATAGCTTCGAGTAGTAATAGGTTAGCTAGCACACATAGTCGTAACTCGTTCCTCGTCACGAGGTACGTGCACTAGCTCCTATATCCCACCACCATCCCCGGATCTCCACCAGGACGATAGTAGTACAAAAGTAGATAGCTAGCGAGCTAGCCGAGCGACGACCAGACGGACAAGCAACACAGCTAGCACGGACGTCCTTTTGTCTGGAGTGGCAACTATCCCAGGTTGCCTGGAGATAACTGATAGCCTTCGGCTATCTATCCCCACGCGTCGCCACTCAGGCTACCAGGGATCTAGCTTTCTGGCCTTACGGCTAAACTTGGACACCCTATCCGGGGTCCCTCGCTTTCGCGTGCCTAGCTCCTGGTAGAAGCTATCTGCATGCGCGAGTAGCCGGCCCAGAACACGCCACTGGAATTCCTCTCCTTTCAGATCTATCCTCTGAGAGGGATCGAATTCCTTGAACTCCTCGTTTGTAAGGTCATCCGCTAGCTGGTTGATGTCTCTCCGTATCCACTGTAGCTGTAGCTCACAGTTTTTCTGGGATAGCTCTTCTGCTATCTCCATTAAAACTAGCATGGAGGGATACTTGGTCGTCATAGCCTTCTTCACAAGTGCCTCATTGGACTTGTTATCCGTATAGCCGCGGATGGCCACTCGCGAGGTCTTCCTATCCTCGCCCTCGGGGACCCAGAGACGTATCCCCACGAGGTTCGCTAGCAGTTCTAGCGCAGCTATCACTTTCTTGGGGTCGCCTTTGGCAAAGGCCCACGGAGCCCAGGCCCTATCCACTTCTAAGGAAAACCAGGGACCCGGCTTCCCTCCGGAAATCTCCAGGAAGCCACCTATCCAGGCCCTATCGGACTCAGCTTTAGCATCCGTGAAAAAGCTCAGTGGAGGTAGCCCGGCGTAGAGAGTCACGGGACGTTGTAGCCTCTCTCCCTGGTCAAGCTTGTCGGCTAGCCACCGCATCAGCACCCGGAGCATCGTCGGGATGATGAGGTAGCCGGACTTCCCTTGAATGGCTGCGCTCCACGCGTGGAGCGGCCCCAAGAAAGGCCTCTGCCAATCCAAGGCTATCGCAGCAAAGCCTAGCCGACCTAGCCCCTGCTGCATCTCCTTGGCCGTGACCTTGCCGCAGGTCACCTTGTCGTTTAGCCAAGCCGATAGCCAGGACGCACGCTTCTTGGACATCCCTAGCCTGTAGGAGGAGTACTCTGTCTCCATTCCCAGCCACTCCACCCTATAGCCACCACGAGTCTTCGCCCATTTGAAAGGATATCCCAGAACAGAGAGGAAAAGGTAGCTCAACGGGATACCCTTCCTCCCCTCCGTTCCTATCCCCAGGGCCTCGAGGTCATCGGCATATAGAAGGAGGTCGATGGGATAGCCGAGGCCCAACAGATGATGGGTTGCCCGTAGCCCACATGCGGCTATCCGGGTCCACCAGTAGCTAGCCGGCGAGCCCACTTTGTTGACGTAGACGATCTGGCTATCCGGGCCCCCGGGGATCGTCTCCTCGGTGTCTATCTGGCAGCCCATGAAGCCGTGCTCGCTAGCCTGGTGTTTGTATCTCCGATGGGCCTTCGAGATATCCCCCACGACCGAAAAGGCAATCTCGCCACAGCGTAACAGCTCTCGGAGGATTTGCTTCTTTTCTCTAGCCCCTGGCGCCCGGATCTTATCCCGACAGCGTATCCGGTGGTTAACCCGGACGCCGTGGGTCGCGTCGTGGATTATCCGCTTCTTGTCCTTCTCCTCGTCCTCGACTATCACGGCCAGGGAGGCGATAGCCCGGTCCTCGCCGAACCTCGCCTTGAACTCGCCGAGGGTCATCCTCTCCATGAGGCCTTCCTCGACGTCCTCGTCGAACTTAGCCCGCACAAAATCCCTGTGGTCGCTAACCAAGGAATAATTCGGAACCCATGCTAGCGCCGGCTCCCAAGGGGCGTTGTCTAGCCTCCAGGAGGATTGCTCCTCGAACACGTGCGGTGTTCTGGGTAGCCCCTCCAATATGCCAAGTGGGAGTCCCTCCTCGGCCCGACGGACGAAGTCCCTATCCGGGTCGCCTGCCGCCTCGAGGATCGCACGAAGTAGCCGTAGACGAAGGGGCTGCCCAGGAGGAATATCCAGTAGGCCTGGTTCGCTGAGGTCCTGACCTTCTATCCAAACTTGCAGGAGTTGCAATAGCTCCTCGTGTAGTTGGCTATCCCGGACGAGCTTGCAGGCCGACTCGCCTCCCATAGCCATTCGGAAGGCCTCCTTCTCCAACTCGTTCTCGGATCCCACTCGCTTGGTTACCATCTCCCGGATCTTAGCCCTCAGCCAGTCCCAGGACTCGCCCGCGGCATGTCCACGAGAGTGTCGGGGCCAGCGCCCAGGAGAGCATAGCCCGCCACCGTCGTGGAACTCCTTTATCCCCTCGTTTTGATGGCATCGGCGGGGGGGTCCCGTGCCACCATGTAGCCGTGGGCCCTCTGGTTGGTTTGTAACATAGTCGAGGTCGCCGGAACTCACCTTATCCTGCACAGTCGGTACCCCCTCTCCGGAGGCAGTCGGAGCAGTAGCCGTGCAGGTTGCCAGGGCCAACTGTGCTAGCCAGCGGCAGAAGTTCGAGGGCCACTCGCCAAGCGTCTCCTTAGCCAGCATGGGGCTTTGCGGCGTCGAGGAAGTAGCCGCCTTCGGCAAGGGGCCCAGATAGTAGCCATCGTTGTCGAAAGCGGGGAGGCCCTCGTGCACGGTAGCCGGCATTTCCAGAGGTGACTTGAGTAGCAGTCGTGTCGGTTTCGCCGAGGGTGCCCCGAAGTTATCCAGGTGCAGGGCCACCGAACGTAGCCCGAGGCCAACTAGCCGTGCATGAGCCTCCCATTGCCACATGCTGGCCTTTGTGGGGGCCAGCCGGCATAGCCCCCAGGTCTTCTGGCTGCTCCAGGACGAAGAAGGTAGCCGAGGAAACCGCAGCACTAGCTATTTCAAAAGAAAAATCAGCAAAAATGTTGCCAAGAATAGCCCGGTCTCTCTCCTTGGCCGTGAGTGTAGCCAATCCTCTGGGCTCGTCAAAGCTTCGGACTGGCCGGGGACCTTTGCGGTTGGCCGAGCTCGCCCTAGAGAACGTCGCCACAGGGGGAGAAATAGCCACGATGTCGTAGTGGCCCGATTGAACTTTGTGGAGGTACTTCGCCCTCTCCTTGGAAGTAGCCAGGTCGATGGGCGGACTCCTCGCCAGATCCACACAACAGAGATATCTATATCGAGCCCGTAGGAAGAGACTAGCCGGCGGAGGTGGCTTTGGAAGCTACCTAGCCTTTCTCTTCCCGAGAAGAGGTAGAGAGCTTGTAGCCGCCGGTGTGAGGTGTCGCCTCAGGTGTAGCCGAAGTAGCCGGCTCTGGCACCGGTAGTCA